GTTTCATATCTCTAGATCTAAGATACTACTAGTAGTAGAATTCTTTGCAAGTAGAAGAAGACAAGATTCTTGCTATCTTAATCAGGTTCCAGTGGTGTTGTTTGAAAGTTTTATGGCTTCACTTTTCTTCATTAAATTAAGAAACGTTAAAATCTACAGACTAAATGGAATGTATAAGCCATACAAACCTAAGGTCTTTGGAGCATCCTGAGCTTCCTAAGAACTGCTGAAATGCTTCTGAGTGCCCTTTTTTAATTTGGAAAGGAAACCACTTAGGTTGTCATTCAGCTCCAGATAGTCATCTTTCCTCTTCTTTCCCCATCTCTTTTCCTTTGCCTGTCACTCTATGCCTGGTCAGTGCGGAGAGAACAATTTCAAGGAGGTCACTGATGATATGGAATGGTTCATAAGCTATGCAAGTGAGCCAGGCATGGTGGCACATACCTGTCAGTTCACCTACTGGGGAGGCTGAAGCAGGAGAATCACAAGTTGAAGCCCAGCCTGGGCAACTTTGAGAGACCCTGTGTCAAAAAAGTTGGAGGGAGTGAATCTCAGTACAAAGTCCCTGGGTTCATAGAAAGAGGGAAAAATGTTATACGTCACAAGATGTATTTCTAGACCCCTGAAAAAAGTGGAGGTGTGCTGGGAGTGCCCAGTGGGTAGGTAGGAACACTCATCCTAAAGACAAAGGAAAAAGGCCCTGGCATTCAGAACCTAGGGAAAGACAGAGGTGCCAACCAGTATATCCTGACATTGGAGAAGGGTGTGGATTGCCGGCCATATCACCCAGGAGGCTGCAGGGCAGGCTGGAACACTCAGCCTGGGGGAGGGGTGGAGGGTGCACCCTGAGCCTCCCAGGGCAGACAGTTCTGGCCTTGCTCCAGTCCTGGCTTTGTGGTGGTAAGAGCCAGTCACTTCCTTCTTGCTTTGTCAAAGTCCTGGTTGAGTTCTAATCAACCAAACTTTAGCAGGCTCACAAGGAGGGGTGACCCGTACTTGGTCTCTTGTCTTTCACTGTCCTGGAGATTCCTGAAATGTGTTCTTTGGTGGTTGGTACTGATACCATCCTCCATCCTGAGGTTTTACTTTGCGTTTTCTTCCCACAGCATGATAATGCACAAATAAATCGTGTCAGTATTTCCTTTTATTTATATCTAATATAATATCAGTAGTGTGATTAGATAATTTGAAATTTAATAGAACTTTCCTAGGTGAATCAGCTAAGATATATCATGATGAAATCTCAGAGCCTGGAGAGGAAAGAGGGAGGGAGCACTTCACACACACACTACTGAGTCAGCACATCATAGCAATTTTCTGTGTCCTCATAATAGATACTTGAGAATAATTACTGACAGCCTGTGGAGAATTCATCAACTTCGGGTACCAAATAATACTATCATGGCAACTGTGTGAATTAAGTTAGAAATTTAGTGAATACTGATGAAGTCTCCTTACTTTTTTTCCCCAGAAAAGCCAATCTGCATAATTGATGCCATAGGTAGAAAAATTCTTTTTTATTATGATATCCTAAATCAAATAGTTTTTAATAAATGAGAGGTACATAATCATTGGAAATTATTGCTGGCCATGTGAGACAGCAAAAACAACATCCTTAATTCTTTTGTAAATGAAAAAAAACATGGTGTTTATTTTCTAAGCATCAACATGCTATGTTCCAAAGAGAAATCCCAATTGACAGATGGTCTGGGGAAGTTCAGTGTTGAGAGAGAGTGTTTCCTAATGAGTCTGTGCAGTGAGTACAGGCAGGTTGTCTGTGGAGCATCCGGGCCAAGTGCAGGGGGAATGACAGCAAGAGCCTGACTTCTTAATTTGTACCACTCAAAGGAAGCCTGTCAAGCTCATGGTAGAAAAAACATATTCTGGCCATTTGTGCGTACTTACTCAAGAATAGACTTTCCACCTGCTGATAGGCAGTTTCTTTCTCACCAGATTCACTAGAGTAAATTCTGTTCTTGTTTTTTTTCCCTTAAATTCTTTTATTGGTACATTTTAGGTATGCAGTACGTTTACATTTATCATTGGGTGCTTGTACCTGTGCATGATGTATCTTAGTTCTTATTTGTTCCCCATTACCTGTGGGCCCTTCACCCCTCCACCCTTCTCTAGTTACATAGACTTCTTTTCCATTTTTTTTCTTTTCTCATAATTTTTCCTTTCCCCTTCCCCTCCTGCCACCCCTACCCCTTGGGACCCTTTCTTCCTATTTCAAATTATCAGTTATTCTTTTTAATCATTTTAATCCTTAACTGCACTTTCAGTTTCATCCAATAACAAATGCTGGTGGGCGTGTGGGGAGAAATCAGCCCTTCTCCATTGCTGATGGGAGTGCAGACTGGTGGAATCACTATGGAAGTCAATATGGAGAAACCTCAAAGAGCTAGGTCCCATTTGACCTTGCTATTCCCCTGCTGGGTATCTTCCCCAAAGTATTTTTTGTTTTAATATTTTTTTATAACTGATGCTCATATACATTGGACATGTATATTTGTTTTGACAAGGGGATAATTTATAAATGAAATCAGTTTCATGTTCTACCACACAGAGCTTCAGAATTTACTGTGAATTTTGAGGTTCTCCTTCCAACTCAGATATCACAGCTAGAAACTACCTGAGTCAAGTTTCGACCCGGGTTGGAGAGTTGATTTTTGCTCTCTTGGCTTTGCAGATGGGCCTCTTCCAATTGTGTTCTTCCGTCTTTCTCCTCTTGCCTCAGCCAGGGGAGGCTGAACTGCAGGAATTGGACCAATGGCACTCCCATCATCTTGCCTCTGGTTGGATTTGGCTAATGAGAAGCCCCAGGAAGAGATTAGAGGGGGGAAAGGAAGTAGTTCCCAGGAGTCTCCTGGCAGGGTAACCCCAAGCTGACTATGTCCCTTTAACAAGGTGGTGGGTCCACTCTCAGGGGTCCTATCTGTGTAAGTCTCATCTTGGAAAGATCTGCCCACTGTTCTCCCCTCGTAAGGCTTCAGACCACAGTGTGGATCAGCTCCTGGCTCTTACTGGCCCTGGGAGTCTATTCCCTCTGGTGGTTGGTGATTTCCCAATGTCCTGCCTCCATTTGTGCAAGGGGCCTTATATTACACTCACTGTGAGTCCCCTTAGTGCAAATGTGCCCTTCTGTGAGGTTCTGACTCATTCAGATTTCAGGATCTTTATCTTCTAGGTTTTGTCTTCTCATCTGTAATTGTTTTATCCTGTTAGCCCTTGTTGACTGTTTTCTACTTGCTCATAGATAAGTGTTAACCCTATGAGTATGGACTTGGTTTGTTCTTATTTTTCTGACTCTACCTTTAACTTCTTTATCATTACAGTAACCACAGATATTTCAAGACTCTCATGGATACAGTGTTTTAGAAACCTTGAAGCACCACCAACCCCAACATAGTTGTAAATTCACTCTCATGTTCCACCGATGCCCTTGTTCTAGTCAGAAGGCTTGCATCCTGTCTGATGTAAGTGCACACACTCAAAGGATATTTTTTTCATCACAATTCATCCCTTCATCTTCAAATTCTACCTTATGATTTTTTTAAAGGCCAGTGTTTTAGTTCTGACATTTTTTCTTTTCTACTTACTTTAATGAAGAAGAGGAGGAGGAGGAAGAGGTGGAGGAATAAGAAGAGGAAGAGGAGGAGGAGAAGAAGAAAGAGAAGAAGAGGAGGAGGAAGAAGTAAAGAAAATCATGGGACCTAGCATACTATAGCATTGTCTAAATTCACAAATTATCCTGCCTTTGAAGTTGGTATTTATTAGTTTTCACCCTTGCTATGATTCAGATCTAAGTTATCCTCCAGGAGTCTCATGTTCTGAGGTTCAGAGGTGAGACTTTTGGAAGGTGATTGGACTACGGGGGGCTACACTCATAGGTGTATTGATCCATTGATGAATTCATAGCTAAATGTGCTAAGATGTGAGGCCTGTTCCCATCCACATGGCTAGTGGTTGGCTTACTGCTTGGCGTGTAGCCATGGAGAAAGAAAAATTGTGCCAGGTCAATTACATAGTTAAGGAAGACTTTACTGAAGATTAGTGCAATACGGGTGATAGGTTGAACCCAATCACACAGGAAAACGATGGGCGAGCTTTTACATGCTGTGGTGAGCCAGGGGAACTTGCTGAAGAGACCAGGGGAAGGACGGGGTTGTGCTTAGACCATGTGTGCTTGTTAGTTGGCGCCCATGTCTCCCGCAGAGAGCAGGAGGCAGGATACCTGTGTTCCTTGGTGATGAAATTTCAAAAACAAGTTTCACAGGTTCTTGAGAAAGATATCGCAGGGCTGAAGGAGATTTATATCTCAAAGAGCAAAGAAAGAATCTACAATTGCAAATTTGTGCGAATGAATTCTCCAAGGAAAGGGAACACAGGACTAGAGTCAGGAAGGAGCCCGTAGAAAGCTTAGTCATTTTGACAGGGACACTACAGGGGTCTTTTTAGTGAGTGATCTCCATATCATGCTATGCTGGTGTTTATATGGCCACTTACTAAGTAGGCCAGTGATGTGCAACTAAAAATCCTAAAACATTTTGTATGTGCAGTTTAATTTCTTAGACTTAATCCTTCAAGATGTGATTTTAACAATTAGTTTATAGACAGAAGATCTTAATCCCTTGCATTTTCCTACAAAGAAACACATGCTCTATGAGATCAAAGACTAGTTTGGCCTCCCATCTCCTTGTGCTGGATATGGAATATTTGTGAGAATTTTTTTTCCCCACTGCTGTGTGTGGAAATAGCAATCTTCCACAAGACACAGTAAACAAATGCAGGTTAGTTTGAAATGTAATGGTCACCTACTGGTAAACACCTGGGTTTCAGGCCAGTCTTCCAGGTGGAAGTACTGGTTCTGTTACTTCATAATTATAGGAACTGGGACAAGTCACATAAACTCTCTGCCTCTTTGTTTAATCCTCTGTAAATGAAGCAAATACCTATTGTGGCGAGGTTGCTGGCAGGACTGGAGGAGAGGCTGCCCATCAAAGCACCCTGTCCCACTGCACAGAGCACACAGAAAGGTGTGGCTGAGCCATCCCGGAGTCAGCCAGTCTCTAGGTGAGGCTGGCACAGGGAGCCACAGAGAGCTGGGTGCTGCTAATCAAGCCTTTCAACTTCGAATAATGAACCTTCATTTTGATTTTGAATCGACTTTTTCTGCTTGAATACTTTATTGGAGCCTTTGTTTCTGCTTAATTGTTTTATTTTCATGACGCTGTGGTTTGATTCGGAGAGGGAGAAGTTGCTTTGTTTATCTAATTCCCTAATTAAGCTGCCCTATGGAGGGGCTACAGTCAGTCCCTCAGGCGCTGAATGAGAGAAGCTAATCACCACCACAGAGCCCAGCGCAGGAGTCGCTTGGGGAGGAAACTGATTGTTTTGGATGTGAATGCTGCCAATCAGACTTGGCTGGAGTTTGAAGTCTGCCCCACAGTCTAAGGTTTCATGCAGTAGATGTTTCCCTTATGCTGCTGAGTACCAAGTTTTAGATTTCATTGCTCTTTTAAATAGCACCCTGCCTTCTCTGCTTAAAGACCAGACTGTCCATCAAAATGGGTCCTTCAGACTGTTTAGGACTTGCGTCTTTCCAAAGCTTTTTTTACAGCCATCCTCTTTCACCTCTGTTGAATCCAATCTCAGTGTTTCCGGCTGAAGAACCCATTGGACATCTGGCCTAACCAAGGACAATAAGCTATGAAAAGGTTAGGGCAGCCCCAGAGCTTGGCCCCGGGCCTGGCCACCACAGGGGATGCCCTGAATTAATAAAAATGAAGAACTGCTTTTCTGTTCTTGTTCCTTAAGCCTTGGGACTAGTAATCCTACTTTCATGACTGAACAAGTGATATGTACTCCTACCCAAAGTAGGAACATGCTACGGGTCGTTTGGTACCTGCGCCTTGCCTTCAGAATAACAGGTATGTTTCTGTACCCTGTGCGTATTGGGATGTCATCAGTGTACTTGCGATAGATGCTGTGGTCAGAAGGGCTGAAGTCATACATGTACTCTATGCCCTAGGCACACATGGAGGGAAATTACAAAGAGAAACAAGACAACAACAGAAATGGAAGTAGAAGAAAGCATACTGTCAACACATGGTGTGTGCGGAGATCTTCTCAGAGAGAAGATGGGAATGGCAACTTGGCTGGGGTGATTTCTTGGGTCACCACTGCAGAAAAACAGTGGAAGGACAGTTTAGTGAGTGGTGTAGGTGAAAATATGGAAGGAGCTTCAGTTTGAGGAGCTGAAAGCGGGCAGAGGATCAGATTGGCCTGGTAACCAAAGAACAGCTTTTAAGGAGTTGTTGGGACTGATAGGGTCTGCATGATCATTCTCTCAGTTCTGGGTTTGCAGGCTGGCTCTGGACAAGTCCTTATTTCTCCAGTGGGCAATTTGGTCTCCATGAGATGATTGTTTCTTCTTGGTGCAGTCTCAGTTTTGTGAGGGTTCTGCTGGAATCCAAGGTGAGCATATGTTAGGGCAATGACTAGAGATTTCTGGGTACTTACTAAATGAATGTTCCTGAAAGTCTCTCATATCAGTGTCCTTAGTTGCGAAGGAGAAAAATTATGAGAAAAATTATGCGAATTTAAGACTGATCAACTTTGTATTGCCAGCTTTCAGACAGACATTGCCTAAATAATTAAGATGCCTGTACGCAGACCTGACCAAGGATCTGACCCAAAGTTTAAGGTCATACGGGAGACAAGTACCAGGTGAAGATCAAACTTTATTCTGCATCTAGTTACGCATCAGGCATTGGTAGCCCCATGTGATAAGTCACTGATGTTTTTGTTTTGTTTTGTTGTTTGTAGCAAAAATAAATTTTAATCCCAACTGTCTCAGAAGAAGTCACAAATCAAGCTTTTAAGGAGGAACAGGTGAGAGTTCAGGAGTTTGTTTGTTCTCCGCCCCTATAGTGGTCTCTGAATGTGTGTATACTCCTGGTTTTCCTGGCGTTGGGAATGGAAAGATGGCGTGTGTCTTTCCTAGTTTGGAGCCTCAGTGTATCTTATAAACTTCTGCTACTTCTACCTGCTGCAGACACCCAGCAATTTCAAAATCGAAGGAGTGATATTCAAAGCCCAGTGCAGTTTGACCCGAGCTCTTCCTTTCGAAGCTTATCGCATGTCCCGTGAACTGTTGGCTCACCACCAGGGGCTCCCTGCCATTTCTGAATATTTCCTTTTCTCGCTGTCTCCTCCAAGCGAGAAACCTTTCCCTTCACATTGACTTATAAAAGTTCATTTCTTTCTTTAAGTGGCAGCTCAAATATCACATTCTTCAAATTATTTTCATATTGATTTCTTTTCATTCAGTATGCTCCACTAGCTTAGTATTTCCAGAGCTCAGACCCTCTTTGATGCTACATATCAAATCTATACCTAGTCAGCTACATATGTGTACTTCATACCCATTCACTAGATTGAAAATTCCAGAGAAGGAGTCAGAAGGAAGGAATGTATCTGTTTCTCTCATTTCTAGTACACCAGTTTGTGAGCAGTAGGCATGTTAAACATAATTTTATGTGTTCACTGGATTCATTGCAATTTCTTTCTTGGCATATAAGAAAATAACATTTTCAGCCTCCCTGGAAGGCTCTAAATTGGATTTTGGTCAATGGGATGTGGATAAAATGTTGTAAGCCATTCTAGCCTGGGATACTGACCACCGATTCTCTTTTCTTGGCTTGAAGACCACATGTTCAAGATGGCAGCACGAGAAGATAAAGGAATGCAGGTCCCTATACTGGTCCTGGAAGAGCAGCTACTCCTGAGAGTCTAGGACCTCCTCAGACACTTTGCAAATAAAGCACGTATCTTTGCTTTGTTAAATCTATGATATTTTAAGTATTATTCATCATACATTCCTCACTAAGCCATGTTGACAAACAGCCTTCAAATTCCCTGCTCCTAGGGACAAAATCTTGTATTTTAATGTATTACAAGTAGATGTTAATAAAGAAGATATAAAAGCCATTCTATGAAAAAATAATTTTTCATAACAAAAATTATTAGAGAATAACCATGTCATATCATGATCTTATCATGTGTATTATGATCTTAAAAGAATATATTTTCATTTGCTTATCTATCTCTCAGCTCATTTCCTAATAATACTATACCTTTTTTTGCATAAAACATTTTAAGTACTGACAAAGTATCTCATATTCTGTATAATTTTGAACAATTTCTTTCTATTTCACAATATTTATTATTCTCTTTGGTCCTTATTTTCACTTTTAGTTTCTCATACCAGAAAGGCAATGGAATATTTACACATGTGTGTTTGATTTATTTCACTTAACAGTGTGTTCTCAAGGTGCATCCATTTACCTAGAAATGTCTAAAGTTTATCCTTCTTTATGGCTGAATAGAACTCCACAATAAAAAAAATACACACCTTTTTTATCCATCAGTTGATAAGCAATTGGGCTGTTTTCAAGACTTAGCTATTACAAACTGTGCCGCTGTAAACATGGGTGTGGATGTATCACTGTGGTGTGATGCTTTTAATTCTTTTGGGAAGATACCAAAAAGGGGAATAACTGGGTTGAATGGAACTTTTAGCTTTCTGAGGAATCTCCACACTGATTTCCACTGATTTCCACACCATTCTACACTCCCACCAACAGTGGGGAAGGGTTCCTTTTTCCCACAGCCCTGCCAGCAGACAAAGTTGGTTTATTTCAATGTACATCGTTAGCATGGAACTTTATGTCTAGAGCATAGTATGACCTCAATAAACCTCTGTCAAATATATGAATAATTAAATGTTTGTCACTTTCCATAATCTCTTCCAATTTCACCTGTGAAGGCTAACCTCAAATTTTCAGATTCTAGCAAAAACCAATTCATGGGTTGTTTATTGCAGTATTATTGACAACAGCTAAAATGTGGAATCAGCCTGGATGCCCTTCAGTGGATCAGTGGATAAAGAAAGTGTGGCATATTCACAAAGTGGAAAGTTATCTAGTCATAAAAGGGATTCTGTAATTTGTGCCACTGTGGTTGGAACTTATACTAAGTAAAATAAAGCTAGACATAGAAAGAAAATTACCACATGTTCCACAGCCTGGTGGAAAATACAAAGTCTGTCTTGTAGGAGAATGGGATGGAACTGTGGTCACCAAAGACAGGCTGGCCATGGCTGGTGCATGGAGAGAAGTTCAGTAAGGTCCACCAGAACATAGGCAGAGCGAAAGAATTACTTCCAGTCTTTCAGTATGAAAGGGCAACTTTCATTGGCTTAAACAATGTCTGACATATTTCTAAATGACCAGAAAAGCACAAAATATCCAACATATAAAATGATTAATAGAGATGGAAATAGCCCTTGCTTGATTTTTCAACTTGTGTGCATGTATTGAATTACCATGGTGCACCCTACAAAGATGCGCACTTATGTCTCAGTAAAAAAAAATACAGATTCAGGGGAAAGCTTCTATTTGGTGGAAAAGTCTGCTGCTGAAGATTCCAGTAAACATTTCTCCAACATCTGCTGCTAGCTTCTGTGAGTAGAACTTGGAGCCTCTTGGTCTTGGGAAGTACTGTTAAAGGTAGCTTCAGGTAATAAAGGAAGGCTACAAATAATTTAGCCCCTCCCCAAGCAATTCCTGTCTAAATAGGGATAATAAGTTGCCAAAAAGGAAGGTAGAGAAGACACTAGAAATGAAAGCAGAAGCTGACATTTGTGGAGTAATTTTTAAGTGCTAGACATTGTTTCAGGCTCCTTGTGATCCCTGAATTCATGTAAATTTCACAAATGGACCAGGAGGAAGATGTTATTAACTGTATTATATGGGTAGTTGGGAAAATTGGTTCTCCAAAGGGTTAGGTAACATGGAAGTCCACAAGCTAGTAAACTGCAGAATGGGATTGGAACATGGGTCCACCTGGCCTAAAACCTTCCATGTTCTTGCAAATACAGATGGTCTCTGACTTACAATGGTCAAATTAATGATTTTCTCACTTTACGATGGAGCAAAGGGATATATATTTAGTAGAAATCATACTCCACATTTTGAATTTGATGTTTTTCCAGATTAGCAATACATAGTAGTTTTTGAGATGCTGGGGAGTGGCAGGGAGCCATGGGCCCCCAGATAGCCACATGGTCAGGAAGGCAAGGTACTGAAACTCCTCAGTGTTGTTAAGCTGTGATGTTTGATAGGCTAAGGGTAGTGAATGCATTTGGCACTTCTGATAGGTTTATTAGAATGTTACCTTTTTGTAAATCAAGGGGGCATTTATCTACATATTATGCTGATTCCTTCAAATAATAACAAGTAAAAATTGCACAGCAGTGGTGCTATCTGCCCCAACCTTAGGATTTGTAACTCATTGTGAATCACAAGTCCTGGGCTTCTCAGGACCCTATAGTAGGCCATCTGGACATCTTGATCCTGCTGTTTTGTGACACTATTGATCTTTTGATCTTAGTATTCACTTTCTCCCTTTCTGAGCTTTCTCACGCCTAGAAATTTTGACAAGGCCTTATTTTTTGGGTCTTGCAGTAGCCATTGGGTGAGATAACAGATTTAGTACGTATGGTTAGACCCTCCCCACTGACCTGAGATGTGGGCTTGCACTAGTTCCATTCTGGACAATTGTCATTCTCCGTTTGGGTCCGGACCCTGGAGCCCACATTCATCTGGGTGGCTTGGTTGGCATGTCCTAGGTCTATTATAATCTCCAACTCAGGATCAGACAGCTTCTATTTAATTATTCTATTAAGTTGTATGATACCATGTTTTTTAGTGGGAAAAGGATGGCAAGACTCAATGTAGAACATTAGAAAACTCAGAGTCTAGTGGAATGTGTGAAAATCTTTTACTGGGATGGGATTTTCATGGGCATTATCTGATATCCAGCATTCTGGGGAAATCAGTTTAAATGGGAAATTGAAACTCAGATTATTTTTATAGACCTGCTCTTTTTAACACAGACATTACATGGGAGACATGTGCACCCAGACCTTCTTTTGCAGACATCTTGGTTTTTTCCAAAATAGCATACTGACTTTGTGAAAAAGCAGTTGCCCACAGTATCTGAGAGATGAATCTGTTTCTTGTTGCTATTTGTAATGTCAGAGAGCAGACACAGCTGTGCACTATGATACGGCTAAGAAGGATTAATTTGGTCAAATACAAGTGTTACCTTGATAAGGGGTCTGTGATGTATAGAGATGCTGGGAAATACTGCTAAGTCGGCCAGTTACACTGTACAGATTTTAAATGAAGCAATGTTTTGTTTCTGTGGATTTTTATTTTCTGAGACACAGAGGAAGAGGGTGGAGTGTTGAGGCCACATCCATGTGGGTAATCACTGTCCTGGGAATGTTGATGTCCTTGCAGATATTCCTATTTTCACTCAGCAAGACATAGAGGAGATGATTGGCTTTTTAGTAAAGTGAATTTGGCGCCTGTCTTCTTCCTTTTAATCTCTCTCTCCTACATTCTTCACTTTCTCATTTCCTTAGCTTCTTTTATGCACTTTAACAGCCATGGCCCTTCAGACCTGACGTTATTTTGTTGGTCTTGGCAGGGCTTTTCCGACTAATTATGGCTGGATACGGATGGAGAGGGAGTGGCGATGCTGCTGGCTGACGTTGTGCTGGTCTGATAGGCCACGTGGGAATATCTGTGGCATCAACAGCAACATCTCTAACCACAATGACAGAGCTGATTTACAAAAATGCCCAGACCTTGGGCTGTTCGCAGCCTGATGTTAATTATAGAATGAGCGGGGACACTCAGATGTGAGTTCTACTTCAGCTTCTTTTTCAACTAGAAAACATTGGCTCTTTCTGTTGACAAAAGACATTTTTAAAGTGGTGGGAGAGGCATTCTTTAGTTTTTATATAAACCGAATCTCAGAGTCTCCCTGTCCTACCTGTTCCCAAGTTTGAAGAGAGGCTTAGGCTATTGATTTCAATTAGGCATCATGTTCAACAAGCCCTTTATTTGGGTTCTTACTTCCTTTGCATTTTAGTGGGAGAAACTTCTATTCCTTGAAATCTGACTGAGTGGTTTTCAAGCTTCAATACAGTTTTCTAAATCCTGTAATTCAGTGTGTGAAGGCAGGTTTCAGGAATTAGCACCTGGGTGATTCTTCAGTTGATGGTTCTCAGGCCCCATTTTGAGACATGCCTTTCCAGGACAGTGACTTTCAAATGTGTGTGTATATCAAGATCACCTAGGGCTTGCCAAAGGCAAACTGTTGTCCCCCACAGCCCAGGTTCAGATTTGTCAGGTCTGAGGCAGGGCTGAGAGCTTGCTGTTTTAAGAGGGCCCAGGGTGATATAGGTGGTGCTCTTCAGGGACCCCACTTTGAGAACTACTGCTCCTGGCTCTTCCAGTGGTGTCTTCCTGTTGGTCAGAAGAGTCCCACTGACAATAACCACATACCACACTTCTCATTCGGAGAAGTAGCAGAAGGATGGGTCTTGGTACATAGATGTTGAGATATAGTTCATACAAGACCTGGGATCTTTTTTGCGTAATAAATTACAGTCATTTATGATAGTACTTCAAAATGGACTCTTGTTCATCGAATTGCTAATTTTAAGGTACAGACTGGGCACAAGCGTTTGATGCCTGGACTGTAACCGTGTTAACACAGCCCGTCTAAAGTAACGTTGACGTCCTGTTGCTTTAATATGCAGCATCACACTTTCTCAAACAGGAAGTGCAGTTCATGGCTCTACTCCGCCTCTCCAGGAGTTTAGAGGTAACGATTAGACATGATATGAAGAGCAGCTATCCGTTATCAGCTGTGTTGAAGCAGAGTTGTTTACCTTGGCAGAGACTGTGTTGGATACTAATCAATGATTATATATTAGCCATAATATTACTCTATCAATGGCTTCTTTCACACAAGGAATTCTGATGATATTCTCACGACTATACAAATCAGCTTGTCTGACACTAATCAGAATTATTTGGCTTAAGTTTACTCATACAAATAAGTA